CCCCTCAGCCCATCATGCGGCCCGACTTGAGATAGCCAGGTAAGAGCCCGCGTCCCGGTAAGGCCCAGTGCTCGGCCCAGCGAGAAGCCCAGCGCGTGGCCCAGCAGCGCGTGGCCCAGCAAGGAAGCCCGCAGCCCATCTCCTCTCCATCCCAGCGCGCGGGTCGTATCCGGCCCTCCCAGCCCGCTTTCTCTCAAAATTCGGCCCGTGCAAGCCCGCGCGTGGCCTGATTGTAGCCTGCGTTTCCAGCCCAAGTTCCCCGCCCTCGCTCCTCATAATTTTTGGCCCGCGGAGGCCCGAATGCAGCCCGCGCCTAGCTGTTCCCTGGCCCACGATGCAGCCCGCAGCCCAATTCTTCTACAGAATGTTTACGCGGCCCAACAACAGGTTTTCAGCGGCCCAGGGCATTTTATGCGGCCCAGCGGGCACTAGACCGTGCCAAAAGCAACCTAGCTCGAGCCAGGTGGTCTAACTCGAGCCCAAACCCATCCAAACAGCCCAAAACGCTACCAACTTAATCTAGCCTCTATATTTTTAGCTCAAGACTAGTTCGGAACGACTCAACATGTACGGTAATGTGATTTGAGATATTATTCTCATAAAGGAGGTATGTGACTAATTTAAATTGGATAAAATGGAGGAATTATGTGACTTATCCATGGGATTTATGCGTGACGATTATTCGTGACTATTATCCGGTGGGGTCGAGAGATATTTGAATTATTTGCGGAGAATTATATGAATTATTTGAATTATTTGCGGAGGATTATATGAATTATTTGAATTATTTGCGGAGGATTATATGATTTATTCGTGACTATTATTCGATTGGGTCGGGATATTATTGGATTTGATCATGGAGAGGTTTAATTTACCTTGGGAAACTATTCAATTTATCTGTAGAGGTATTTGATTTATTCGAGAAGCTGCTATTGGATTTATTTTTAGAGGTATTTGATTTATTCAAGGAGGTGCTATTTAATTTATTTTTGGATGATTATTTGATTTACTCCAGGAATATATTTGACTTATGCATGGGGGATTATCTGATTTGCTCGAGCGGCTGTCGAATTTATTTGAGGATGATTATTTGAGGAATATATTTCATTTGTGCATGGATGATTATTTGATTTGCTCGAATGATTGTCGGATTTGTTTGTGGATGATTATGTAATTTGCTCGAGCGATTATGCGATTTATTCATGGATATATTTGAATTTCTGTCGAGGAAATGACGAAATAATCCAAGTCTCGAAAAGCTATGGCGGATGAGTTGTTGAGTGTCGAGAATAAAATGAACGAGCATGGATCCATCTAAGGAGGGTGACAAGCAGGGACGAGCCTAGATGATGTCGATCACCGGTGGCAATTTCAAAAGGAACGGGTAAAAATCAGCTTCTTTGGAAAAGGTATGACAATTTGGAGTGGTATTCTCGACCTTCAGGTACA